TTCTCCCCCCCCTAGAGGGGGGGGAGGGAGGAGGGGGTGGGTGTTAATAAGGAGACAAAGGGAGGAAGAAATGATGTATAAAGACAAGGATAAAATAAGAATAATATTAAAATAAACCCTAAACCCTAAACCCTAAACCCTAATAATGTGGGGATGATGTGTATATATATATAAATATATCCTTAGAAGAGAACCAACCATAGATATATATATTAGGGTTTAGGGTTTAGGGTTTAGGGTTTAGAAGTGTTTATATATTTTATAATTAAAATAATATGTATTATAAATTATAAATATTTATATTGCTGCTAGGTAGCAGCAGCAGCAATGAGCAGCAGCAGCAGCAGCAGCAGCAGCCGCTGTATCTGCAGCGACCGAGAGGTAGTAATAGTAGTACGTAAGTAGTAGTAGCAGCAGAAGCAGCAGCAGCAGCAGCAGCAGCAGCAGCAGCAGCAGCGGCGGCAGGAAGATCTGCGCCGCATGAGGATGAGGAGGAGCAGCAAGAATAAAAAATATATTTTTGTCTTTTGTTTTATTATTATTTAAATAATATTTTGTGAATCTTTTTGCTGCAGCAATTGCTGCAGTGTACATCCATACACCCGAAAGCAGCAGCAGCAGCAGCAGCAACAGCAGCAGCATCAGCATCACAAGCAGGTGTTGTTGTTGTTGCTGTTGTTGTAGTTGTTGTTGTAGTTGTTGTAGTTGTTGCTGTTATTGCTGTTGCTGCTGTTGCTGCTGCTGCAGTTGCTGCATCTGTAGCTGTAATTGCTGCTGCAGTTGCTGCAGTAATAGCAACAGAAGACTCACACAACAGCAACAGCATATATAAGGTAATAAAAATAATACAGCAGCAGCAACAGCAGCAGCATACTATAGACGTTGCTGCTGTTGCTGTTGTTGCTGTTGCTGTTGATGTGCATGCACATGCATACTGTATATTATATATACAATAATAATAATAATTATATACTGCTGCAGCATTAATAAGACTATGCAGCAACAGCAGCAGCAACAGCAGCAGCAGCAGCAGCAGCAACAGCAGCAACAAAAGAATAAATATATATTTTTTATTGTATGATGGCCTCATATAAAGAGGTCATCATACATAGTTTTATGTCGTCGCTGCAGCAGCAACAGCAGCAACAGCAACAGCAGCAGTAGGAGATAAGAAGAGTAGTAGAATAAATCCAACAGCAGCAGCAGCAGCAGCAGCAGGAAGAGGAAGAAGAAGAAGAAGAAGATGGCACCATCAAGTAGTAATTCATCATCAGTAACAGGCAGGGGTGGTAATAATAGAGGAGGAGGACGTTCTTATGGACGATCTGCTGCTGCTGCTGCTGCTGCTGCTGCAGCAGCAGCAGCAGCAGCAACAGCAGCAACAACAGCTGGTGGTGGTAGTAATAGTCCTGCTGCTGCATCTAATACAACAACAACAACAGCAGCAGCAGCAGGAGGAGGAGGATCAGGAGGAGGAGGGAATACAAATAATAACACAAACAATACAAAGAATGTAACACGTAATAATAATAACAGCAGCAGCAACAGCAACAGCAGCAGCAACAGCAGCAACAGCAACAACAATAATAATTCAACTTGTGCAGTTCGTAGTAACAGCAATAATAACAATAAAAAAACACAACAACAACAACAGCAGCAACAACAACAACAAGAATCATCTTCTTCTTCTTCTTCTTCTTCTTCTAATAACAATAATACAACAACAACAGCAACAGCAGCAACAGCAACAGCAGCAACAGCAACAGCAACAGCAACAGCAACAACAGCAACAACAACAGATACACCACCAATATCATCATCAAATGAATCAGCATCCCTCCATCTTCCTCCTCCTCCCCCCACCACCACCACCACCAACAACAACAACAACAATAATAATAATAATAATAATAATAATAATAATAATAATAATAATAATAATAATAATAATAATAATAATAATATAAGTATAGAGGAATTATTATATGAGACATCTATACGTGCAAAGAATTATAACAGAAATAATTATGGATTATTAGGTATATTAAAAATTATTAAATATAATCATCAATTATCTTATCATAATATATTAACATTAGGTATTGATCTTACATCTCTTGGATATAATCTTAATTCTACACAGTAAGATCTTATTTCCTGCTGCTCCTGCTGCTGCTGTTTGCTGCTGCTGCTGCTGCTGCTGTTGTTGTGTCTCTTTTGCTGTTATATTCATGTATTTATGAATAGTTTATTGTATCATCAACAATCTTATCATAATATATTAACATTAGGTATTGATCTTACATCTCTTGGATATATAATCTTAATTCTACACAGTAAGATGCTGTTGCTGTTTGCTGCTGCTGCTGCTGCTGCTGCTGATGGTTGCTGCTGTGTCTCTTTTGCTGTTATATTGATGTATTTATTGTATATTAATCATCAATAATCTTATCATAATATATTAACATTAGGTATTTATCTTATATCTCTTGGATATATAATCTTAATTCTACACAGTATAAGATCTTATTGTTGCTGTTATTTGCTGCTGCTCCTGCTGCTGTTTGCTGCTGCTGATTGTTGTTGTTGCTGTTGTTGTTGTTGTGTCTCTTTTGTTGTTATATTCATGTATTTATGATGGGTAACAATCTTATTATAATATATTAGTATTAGGTATTTATGTTATATCTCTTGGATATATAATTCTTAATTATACACAGTAATATTATTATCTTATTTATTTGCTGCTGCTGCTGCTGCTGCTGTTTGCTGCTGCTGCTGCTGATTGTTGTTGTTGCTGTTGTTGTGTCTTTGTTCTTATTATATTAATGTATTGATGATGGATAAGAATAACATAATTAATGTATTATGTATTTATTTATCTTATTTATCTTGTATATAATTCTTAATTATAATCAGTAATATCTTCTTGTTTATTTGTTGCTGCTGCTGTTATTTCCTGCTGCTGCTGCTGCTGTTTGCTGTTGTTGTTGTTGTTGTTGTGTTATTGGATGTTAACATGTTCTCTTTATTAGTTCTGTTAATACACACAAAGCAATATCTTATTTGCTGCTGCTGATGCTGCTGCTGCTGCTGCTGTTGCTGCTATGCAGCAACAGCAGCAGCAGCAGCAGCAGCAGCATCAACAGTAGCAGCAGCAATTGCAATAGCAGGATTCACATATAAGTAGTATCTATTATCCTAGTTATATATATATATATATATATTATATATATATATTATATATATTATTATTATGTAAACCCTAAACCCTAAACCCTAATTAGTGTTTGTATATTATATGTAGGTGTTTATATGGGGCATTTACTTCTCCTGTATCAGAAACACCCGTCAAAAAATCCATGGAGTAAGCAAGGGTTTAGGGTTTAGGGTTTAGGGTTTAGGGTTTACAGATACATCTCCTGCTGCTGTTGTTGCTGCTGCTGCTGCAGTTGTTGTAGGGAGTTTGTATAACTGCTGCACCTGCTGCTCCTTGCATACACCCCTCTGTTGCTGCTGTTGCTGCTGCTGCTGCTGCTGCTGCTGCTGCAGGGAGTTACTACCTCAATGTTATGTATCTGCTGCTCCTCCTCCTCTACGTCATTCACATCTAGAGAAATTTGAATCACGAACACTTCTTTATATTTTCTATACAAGTCCAAGATTGCTACTCCAGGTATACCCCTAAACCCTAAACCCTAAACCCTAAACCCTAAACCCTAAACCCTAATTTTATTAATACTTTTTCCAGTAGTTCTTTCTACTACTACTACTACTACTACTACTGCTGCTGCTGCTGCTGCTGCTGCTGCTGCAGGGTTATGCTGCAGTAGAGTTGCTGCGTCGTCGTTGGCAATATCATAAAGAATGGAGGAAATGGTTCAGGGTTGCAGAGACAGCAGCAAACCCTTCTATGCAAAAAAGACTACCAGAAGGAGACAATCTGCTGCAGCAGCAGCAGCAGCAACAACAACAACAACAACAACAGCAACAGCAACAACCACAAGGGAGCAGCAGCAGCACTGGAGATGATACAACCGGTGGTGCTGTTGCAGCATCAACCAATACGTCAGGTATGCGCTGTCAATGTTGCTGTTGATTGATGCTGCTGCTGCTGCTGCTGCTGCTGCTGCTGCACTTTATTACTCTTGCTGCTGCTTTTGCTGTTGCTGCTGCTGCAGGTGGTGAGGGAGATACAACGCAGTGGATTTGGTTCGATCCAATCTCATGGAAAGAAGTGTAAGTTTGCTGCTGCTGCTGCTGCTGCTGCTGCTGCTGCTGCTGGTGTGCATGCAACTGCTGTTGTGGAAGTCTGCTGCTTTCCTTCCTCCTCTCATTACTCATCCTGTTGCTGTTGCTGCTGTTGCTGCTGCAGTCCTTTTGTTGGGTCTTTGTCCCCTTCTTGCTTCTTAGCTGAGGCGGAGGTCTGTACGGCGCTGCAGCAAGGATACAAGGAAGCAGAATTGAATCAGGAGCTGCAGCAGCAGCAAGTGCAGCAGCTGTATCTTGAGCATCAGCAGCATCTATCGCAGCAGCAGCAGCATCTATCTCAACAGCAGCAACATCAACAACAGCAACAACAACAACAACACCTCACTCAGCAGCAACAACAACAGCAGCAACAGCAACAGCATAGACATCTACAACAGCAGCAACAACCTACAAAAGTTGATCCGCATGCACCTGTTGCAGATCATCAGGGACCTGCTGCTGTTGCTGCTGTTGCTGCTGCACAACCTGTTGCTGCTCATGCACAGCAACAGCAGCAACAGCAGCAGCAAGGGGGGCCCCCAGGGGTACCCACGGGAGGAGTTATTAATGGGGGAGAGATGCAGTCGGTTTGGGGTGGGTGGGGACACCGCTAGATGTACAGCAGCAGCAACAGCAGCAGCAGCAACTGCAGCAGGAGCTGAAGCAGCAATAGCAGCAGAAACAGCAACAGTAGCAACAACAGGCATGGCAGAAACAGCTGCTACTGTTGGGGCTGTTGTTGTTGTTGCTGCTGCTGCTGTTGTTGCTGCTGCTGCCTGCTCAATCACAGCAGCTACCCATGGATGGGTTTCTGCTGCACAGCGCTGAACCTGCATGCAGAAGCAGCATCAAATGCGGCAGCGGTTGCTGCTGCAGCAGTTGCTGCTGCTGCAGCAGTTGCCGCAATAGGAACTTCTGCTCCTGTTGTGGCGGAAGCCCTCGCATCTTCTGGAAGACCCGCCGAATAGATTAGGCCTAGGGTTTAGTGTTTAGGGTTTAGGGTTTAGGGCTTGGGGTTCAGGGTTTAGGGTTTAGTCTCTAGGGTTTAGGGAAGGGTTTAGGGTTTAGGGTCGGGGGGCTTGGGGTGTTAGAATTACTACGGGGGAGGGTTTAGGGCTTATAGCCGATATTTTGGGCAGATAGTGGGATTTAGGGTTTAGGGATTGGGGTTTAGGGTTTAGGGTTTAGGTGCTAGGGTTTAGGCATGACTGCGCGTCTTCGACCTTCGGTTAGCATCTGGGGTTTAGGGTTTAGGGTTTAGGGTTTGTAGATGAGGTGAGGGGAAGTTGTTGTATGGATCTTAATTATAAAAAATCAATTATTTTTAGAGTTTCAATGATTTAGGGTTTAGGGTTTAGGGTTTAGGGTTCGAGGGCGTGTCTGCAAAGAAGTGACCTCAGCGGGTCCGCTGCTGCTGTTGCTGCTGCTGCTATTGCTGCTGCTGCTGCTGCTGTTAGCGGTGCTTCTGCTAGTGTCTCGATGCATGCATGCAATATTTTTTATTGTTTTTTTTTGAAATATTAGATCTGAATTCCTAGCATATTGATTTTAGGGTTTAGGGTTTAGGGTTTAGGGTTTAGGGTTTAGGGTTTAGGGTTTGAGCAATATCTGGTGAGCCGCGTGCTATATATACGGCTCTCCCCTGTCAATGTAAACCCTCATAGGAATTTATTTTTGATTGAATATAAATGAAGAAATTTATTTTTTTTTAGGGTTTAGGGTTTAGGGTTTACGGTAGGGTTTCCTGCCGTTAGATCCGCATCTGTGTATGAGTCTGCCTCTTGCTGCTAAGAAGGGAGGCTGTGCTGCCCGTTCCCTCCCTGTGCAGCAGCTCTAGGGTTTAGGGTTTAGGGTTTAGGGTTTAGACTGGATACTCAATAGTATATGATTAGGAATTGTTTTCTTTTTGTCGATCTGCTGAGTACTACTACTATGCTAGGGTTTACAATTTTATAGTGTTTATTAGGGTTTAGGGTTTAGTAGGGTTTGCATGGATTAGTTATAGTGTGTATATAGTAAATTTTTGGATATATTTGAATAAGATTTTTTTTCTGTATGTAGGGTTTAGGGTTTAGGGTTTAGGGTTTAGGGTTTAGGCAATGGACCCTCGTGGTTTGATGTTATTATTGGGTTGGTGTATAGCGTTATTAGGGTTTGCAGGATTAGTGTTTGTGTGTATATGGTCATGCCGTCGTATAAAGGGTTTAGGTAATAAAAAAAAAGAAATAAATAATAAAAATAATAATAATATACAAATAGAGTGTATAGGAGTAAACCCTAAACCCCAAACCCCAATTATAAATGAGTACGAGGAAGAAAAACAATTAATAATTAAAAGATTAGAGCAAGGAGGGTTTGAATGTCCGCAAACCCTTCGTCATTGTCTTAGGGAGCTGCAGATACACCTGGCAACAACAGAGGCATCTTATTTAGCATGGAAGGAAGCACTGCAGCATAAACCCCAAACCCTAAACCCTAATCCTCCTACTCTTCTTGTTGAGTTATGGTTAGTTCATGGAGAATTATACCCAGAAAGGGATGAAGATAATTACCCTAATCTAGGTAATTATATACACCCTAAACCCTAAACCCTAAACCCTAGAAGGCTCTAAACCTTAAACCCTAAACCGTAGACAGCCCTAAACCCTAAACCCTAAACCGTAGACAGCCCTAAACCCTAAACCCTAAAAAGGACCTAAACCCTAAACCCTAAAGGGAAACAACAACTCTCACCCTATAAACCCTGATTTGTTGCAGCTGCAGCTAGCTGCATCTCCTCTCCTCCTTCTCCCCCTCCTGCTTCTGCAATTACTGCTTCTCTTGCTGCTGCTGCGGCTGCTGTTTCTGCTGCTGCTGCTGCAGATATAGTCTTACCTTTCTCTACAGCTCCTCGTACTCGTGGTACATTTCCCTCAATCCCTGGTTGCCGTCGTCATAAATCCTTACAAGAAGAAGAAATATTTATTGGTTCTCCTCCTTTTTCTTTCTCTGCTCCTCCTCATTCACGTATGTTTATGCAAACTCCTTGTCATGCTGCACAACCTCCTTCTTTATCCCCTACGCCTAATTCCCCTATCAATAATACTCAAAAAAGGGTATCAGGGGGCCCCCTTGGGGGCCCCCAAGGGGCCCCCCAAGTGGGGGGCCCCCATAGGGAGGGGGGGGCCCCAAATGGCATATTTGGTGGGGGGCCTCACAACAACCTCAGGGGCCCCCCTACCATGGAGGAGGATGGCCAACAACAAGAAGGAAAAGAAGGTACTGAACAAGAAGGAGGAAGGGTAGAGGGTATTGGGGCCCCTCCCCAAGTATTAAGGGGCCCCCAACATGTTGGGGGGGCCCCCCCACAACTTGTATTTGAAGCCGAAGGGGTACACGGATTGGGGCCCCCCTCTGTTGCGTACCCATCAAGAAGAATAGGTATAAGTAGGGCAGATAGGAAGATGTATAAAGAAGAAAAGAAGAGACAAAAAAGAATGATAAGGAGAGCAAAAAAAGATGCAAAAAAAGTACATAAAACAGAGAAAAAAATAGAGAAAAAAATGAATAAAGAAGAAGAAAAAAGAATAAAAAATAAAAAAAAAGAAGAAAAAAAAAGAATAAAAAAATTAAAAAAACAACATTTATTTATTAGGCCTTCTTATTGTCCTCCTCAGCCACCAATGGTATTAGTAGAGGAGGCTATACAAGATACACAACCTGTTAGTCTCCTGCTCCTGCTGCTGCTGCTGCTGCTGCTGCTGTTGCTGCTGCTGTTGCTGTTAATGTTGCTGCTGATGATAGTGGTGGTCGTGAGGAGGAGAATGGTGGTGTTGGTGTTGTTGTTGTTGCTGCTGCTGCTGCTGTTGCTGCTGTTGCTGCTGCTGATATTGGTGGTGATGGTTACGATGATGGTGTTGTGCTGCTGCTGCACTTGCTGCTGCTGCTGCTGCTGCTGCTGCTGCTGCTGCAGATGCAGGTAACAACAGAAACAGTGTGTGAGGGTCCTGGTGTTATTGATACTTCATTAGCACAACCACCACCACCTACACCAGGAATTGTAACCACTGCAGCAGGTTCGTACCCATGCAGCAGCAGCAGCAGCAGCAGCAGCAGCAAGTGCAGCAGCAGCAGCAAGTGTAACAGCAACAGCATCAGCAAGTACTGCAGCAGCAACTGCTTCAGCAAGTGCAGCAACACCAACAGCAGCAAATGCAGCAACAACAACAGCAGCAGCAGCAAGTGCATGCATGCATGCCTATATTATTATTATATGCTGTGTATGTTTGCTGTTGTGTATAGATGGAGTAAGAAGGGAATTCGTAAGACAACCAACAATGAGTTTGCCTCCTGTGTCTCTCCAATTAGATGCTGCTGCTGCTGCTGCTGCTGCAGAAGAGAGACACCTGTCTCCTTCTGGGTGTATGGATGGTGGTCCTTGTGTTACTGAAGTTATTGACTGCAGCAACAATCATAATCACAACAGCAGCAGCAGCAGCAGGAGACACATATTCAGGGGACATTGTCAGCAGCAGCAGCAGCAGCAGCTGTCTCCTCATCATCATCATCACCATCATCATCCTCATCATCATCATCATCCTCTCCCTCCTCCTCCTCCTCCTGGTCCTCTTCCCCCCCCTCCCCCTCCCCCTCCAGCAGCAGCAGCAGCAACAGCAGCAGCAGCAGCAGCAAATAGTTGTGGTGGTATGGGTGTCCTCCCTGGCACAGTAGTAATATCTGACGACCCCCCTGAGGCCTCAGCAGCAGCAGCAGCGGCAGCAGCAGCAACAGCAGCAGCAACAGCAGCAGCATCAATCCCTGTTCCTGCCCCCCCACTCTCCCCCCCACCAACCTGCGCAGCAGCAGCAGCAGCAACAGCTGCTGCTCTCCCTCCTACTCCTCCTGCTGCAGCAGTAATAAGAAGAGAACCTGTATATAAGGCAGATAAACATACAGCAATAATACCTGCACATAGTTTTTCCCCTCGTTATATATTTATAGGAGAGCAATGGTTGCCAGCCCCAACAGAAACGCATGCAAATAAATTGCATGCAATTAATTTAGTAGAAAAAGCAAGACTAGGAAGAAAAGACCCAAGAAAAAAAGAGTCTTATGCTGCTCAGGTGTATATGCATGCAACAGCACACAGGCAACAATTTGATAAAATATTACTAGCAAGACCTATGCAAGGAGAGATAGAGGAAGCAGCAGCAGCAGCAGCAGCAGCAGCAGCAGGGGGAGGAATTCATCATAGATGTCCTGCTGCAGCATCTGCTGCAGCAGCAGCTGCAGCAGCAGCAGAAGCAGAAACTGCATGCAGCAGCAGATTACGCATGCAAGCACTAGCATTAAGGGAGCTCCTTCCCTCCCTTTCTTTGTATACATGCGCAACACAAGTTCCTCATATGCATTACTCCTTAGTAGATTATAAATTAATAAATATAAATAATATAGATATAGAGGCAATAAAGGAGACACTAGGGTCTCCTTCCTGTCTTAGTCAACCTATTTATCTATTATTAAGGGTATATGAATGTACTAAATTACCTGAGGTGTCTCCTCCTTGTAGTCCTACATCTGCTGCTGCTGTTGCTGCTGCTGCAGCAAGAGAGAATCTAGCTATTCAACAAGCACAAGCTGCTGCTGCTGCTGCTGCTACTGCTGCTGCTGCTACTGCTGCTGCTGCATCTTCTAGACCAGGTACACCAACACAACCACCATCAGCAGCAGCAGCAACAGCAGCTGCAGCAAGTGCTGCTGCAGCAACAGCAGCAGCAGCAGCAGCAAATGCAGCAGCAGCAGGATCATGGGAAATAGATAAGGAACAACAAGAAGATATTGATGGTTGGGCTATACTATACGAGTCCCCTCCTATTGAATTAGGAGACAGGAGCAAAGTGTCTCCTTTTAGTGTCTTATTACATGAGGGGACAAGGTTCTATTATAGGCATCCAATTGTACCCTCTAAGCCTAAATTACATACTACTAATACACCAGCAGCAGGAGCAGGAGCAGCAGCAGCAGCAGCAGCTAATTCAGCTAATAATCCCCCGCCTCTACCTCTAGGCACAACGGTATATTATCCTTATAATAATAATAATAATAATAATAATAATATTAATAATAATAATAATAATAATAATAATAATTATTATTATTATTATTATTATTATTATATATACAGAAATATACAAAAAGTATACCCTCTTTTATTACCTAAACCCTAAACCCTAAACCCTAAACCCTAAACCCTTGTTGTTATTGTATTTGCAGGTATTAGTGGAGACTCGTTGCAGCAACGGGGAGCCCCAATTAGCGCGAGCAACATTTGATGAATTAGCAGCAAAAACAATAAAAAAAGGAGGAGAAGGTTCTTCCTTATTTACTACTTCTGTAGATATTGCTGCTAATACAGAGGCATATAGAGGTAAACCCTAAACCCTAAACCCTAAACCCTAAACACTAACTAGTATACTATACTATAAAGATTGTAGCAGAAAAAAGAGCGACACTCACACATAACATACACCCCAAACCCTAAACCCTAAACCCTAAACCCTAAACCCTAAACCCTAATATGAGTGTGTGTGTGTTACTGTTACTGTTAGGTGGCTCTCGTGGTGGTGGGGTTTGTAAACCCTACGACCCTCAGAGACGATTAGTGTTAGCTGGTCGTCCTTTAGAGACAGCAGAGGCAGCAACTGTCTCCTTTCGTCAGAGGGGGAGGACAGAAGTAGTCCCTACAAGGAGACACCAATCATCTTCTTCTGCTGCTGCTGCTGCTGCTGCTGCACCATTCCCCTCTGCTGCTGCTCGTCTCCCATCCCTCCCAGGAAGAAGGAGACACCTAGATGAATATGACGAGGACTATAACTACATGTTAACAAATCAGCAGCAACAGCAGCAGCAGCAGCAGCAGCAAATATATCCCTTATTATCCTCAACAAAGGGGACAGCAGCAGATAGATTTAGATATTTATGTATAAGACATAGAGGTATAATCTATGATAATAAGGACATAACTGTCTCCTGTGTAGTAGGGACAACAAGTTATCCATCTAATAGGACTATGTATGCATCCTTAGAGTTAAGTTTTATTGCTAAACCTGCTGCTGCTGCTGCTGCTGCTGCTGCTGCTGCAACAGCAGCAGGTACTGTACCACCACCTATACCATCATCCCCATCCTTCTACCCAACAGCAACAACACCATCAGCATCAGCAGCAGCAGCAGCAGCAGCAGCAGCAGATCCATCATCATCATTAGCAGCAACAGGAGGACCAACAGCAGGAGGAGGAACAGCAGCAGCAGCAGGAGGAATGTCTACAGGTTTCCGTTATATAAGCAGCAGTGTACAGTGTATAGAGAAGGACTGTCTCCATTGCTCAGTGTCTCCTATAGTTAAGGCACCATCAAGGGGACACTTTTTATTACTAAAAGGGATGCAGACAATAGTAATAAGTATATTAAGTCCCTTTTTGTCTCCTCCTGAGTTGCTGCTGCAGTACTGTCTCCTTGATGGTACAGAGCAGCAAATTGTATTTGCTCTCCCTTTGCTGCTGCCACACTTCTTGCTTCCTTTGCAGCAACTGTCTCCTGCTGCTGCGCTGCAGCTATGGTTCGATGAGTCCCTCTATTGCCATTTTACCTCTCTTAGATTGTCTCCTGCTGCTGCTGCAGCAGGTGTCTCCTTTCTGCAGCAAACTGTCTCCTTAGGAGGGAGACTGGCTATAATTAAAGATATTAAGCATGCAGTTGCACAAAACTCCCTATTTGCTGCAGGAGAATTATTAGCAATAGGAGACATGAAAGGAGACAGTAAGGCTATTGTAAGATTAACTCCTGCTGCTGCTGCTGCTGCTGCTACACATTTTGCTGCTGCTGTTAAATTACAAGTTAAGGCACAAGATCCAAGGCTTGCTGCTAGTCTATATGAATTACTCGTCTATCTATTAGAAGAACCACAATAATATTAATATGTATACTGCAGCAGCAGCAGCAACTGCAGCAGCAGCAGCAGCAGCAACTGCAGCAGCAGCAGCAACTGCAGCAGCAAAAGATCCATATGAGCAGCAGTAGCTCAAGGAACAGCAGCAGCGCAAGCAACTCAACAGCAACAGCAACAGCAACAGCAGCAGCCGAAGCAGTTCAAGGAACGGCAACAAAGGCAGCAGCTACTGCAGCAGCAGCAGCAGAAGAAGCAGCAACCCAATAACAGTGTGCTGTTTTTCGAGCAGCAGCAGCAGCAACAGCTACAACAGCAGCAGCCCAATGAGACATCAGCCACAGCAGTGGCTGCAGCAGCAGTACATGCTGCAGCAGCAGTAACTGCAACAGCGGCGGCAGCAACAGCTGCAACAGTTCACAAGACTGTAGCAGCAGCAGCAGCAGCAGCAGGTGACGCAACTAACGCAGCAGCTACAGCAGTAGCTAAAGCAGCGCTACCAACAGCTAGAGCTGCTACAGCAGCAGCAGCAGCAGGAAAAAAAAGCTCTAAAAAGCTGCAGCTGCAGCAGCAGCAGCAGCTACAGAAGCAGCAACAGCAGCAGCAACAGCAGCAGGTTCTGTTTGTTTTTTAAGCTGTGCTGCTAACTCATTAATTTATTTATTTTTTTTTTAATTGTCTCCTTAAAGGAGACAATTAATTTATTTATACTGTTTATTATTTATTAATAAGGAGACAAATACAGATTGAATATGTCATGTTTAGTACTGCAACAGCAGCAGCAGCAGCAAGAGCAGCAAAAAGAGCAGTAATAACAGCCGTAATTGTAGCAGCAGCAGCAGCAGCTAAAGCAGAAGTAACAGCAAAAGCAGCAGTAGCAGCAGTAACAGCAGCAGCAGGAGCAGCAGCAGCAATAGCAGCAGCAGCAGCAGCAGCAGCACTAGCAGAAATAGTAGCAGCAGAGGTAGTTGACTAATTTTTAGTGCACATAAAAGAAATAATAAATAAAAAGAAAGAACAGGGAGACAAAAGGAGACAAAAATAAATAAAAAGGACAAATATAAAGAAAAAGACAGAGAGAGACAAAAGGAGACAAAAGGAGACAAAAAGAAAGAAAAAGGAGACATAAGGGAAGAAAGAGGAGACAAAAGGAGACAAAAAAAAGGAGACAAAAAGGAGACAAAAAGGAGACAAAAGGAAAAAAAAAGGAAGAAAAAAAAAACAAGAGAAAAAAAAAGAAAGAAAAAGAGACAAAAAGAGACAAAAAGAGACAAAAAGAGACAAAATAAGTCTGTTTATTTATTTATGTGTGTAACAATAAAAGGAGACAAAAGGAGACAACAAAAGGAGACAGCAAAAGGAGACAGCAAAGGAGACAATAAAAGGAGACAATAAAAGGAGACAATCAATATTTATTTATATTTATTTATATATATAAATAAGATAAAAAATAAATAAAAATAAATAAAAAATAAATAAAATATATTTATAATACAATAAAAATAAATAAATATTAGCAAAAAACACAGGACACACGAGCACGGGCATACATAAACCCTAAACCCTAAACCCTAAACCCTAAACCCTAAACCCTAGGAGGTGGTCTGAAATATACTGACAATAAAAAGAAATAAAAAGGAAGAAAAATAAAAAAAAATAAAAAAAGGAAAAAATAAAAATAAAAAGGATAAAGAATTAGTTGCTGCTCTGTGCTGTCTCGCTAGCTCTGCTGCTGCTGCTGTTGCTGCTGTTGCTGCTGTTGCTGCTGTTGCTGCTGTTACTAGATCCTAAACCCTAAACCCTAAACCCTAAACCCTAAATATATACAAATTGGTGGTATATTTCTGTTAATGTCTTACAATTTCAATAAAATAAAAGAAGAAAAAGGATAAACAAACGAGCAAAGCTGCTGCTGCTGCTGCTGCTGCTGCTGGCGCCGGGGCACAGCCGACGACGCCCGCTGCTGCTGCTGCTGTAGCGCTGCTGCTGCAGGCGTGCTGCAACAGCGGACTGTGCTGCAGCAAGAAGTTAATAAGACATGCAGTAAATAATATAATATAATTAATTAATTAATTAATTATTTATTTAGTAAATAATTTCATTAATATTTATATAAAGAAAAGAGAGGAAAGGACATTTGCATAGCTGCTGCTGCAGTAAGTTGTTGCACAGCTGCAACAACAGCAGCAGCAACAACAGCAGCTACAGCTACAGCTACTGCTACAGCTGCTGCTGCTGTTGCTGCTGCTGCTGCTGCAGCAGCAGCAGCAACATTCTTTGTTTCAATTGTATATTTGGGTAAATATTTAATATATTTATTCTTTTTTTATTTTATTTCATCTTTAAAGAGGACTATTTTAATCATATAACGCACTGGCAGCAGCAGTGGAGGGTGCAGCAGCAGCAGCAGCAGCAGCAGCAGCAGCAGCAGAAATATGGCGGACGAAGGCAGCAGCAGCAGCAGCTGCTGTAGCAGCAGCAAAGTCTGCTCTAATATGGGACCAGTAAGTGTTGAAAATGCTGCTGTTGCTGCACCTTCTTCTTATTTAAGTAGCGAAATGGATCCTTTGCAGCAGCAGCAGCTGCAGCAGCAGCAGCAGCAGCAGCAGCAGCAGGCTCCGTCATCTGTTTGGGCTCCTCCTTCGGGGTCATCGTCTCGCTGCGACTCAACAGCAGCAACAGTAACATCATCATTATCTGTAGCAAAACCAACAGTAGCAGCAACAGCAACTGCAGCAACAGCAACTGCAGCAGCAGCAGCAGCAGCAGAAACTGCAGCAGCAGCAGCAGCAGGAAAAGGAACATTATCTGCAGAGATATCTTCTACCCCAACATCTGCAAATACATCTCGAGGTACCTCCCTATCCGCACCAACAACAACAGCAGCAGCAGCAGCAGCAGGAGCAGCAGGAGCAACAGGAGCAACAGGAGCAGCAGGAGCAGCAGGAGCAGAAAGGAAAGAATTTCCATCATCAACATTAGCAGCAATGGCAGCAGCAGCAGCAGCAGCAAATAAGAGAGGAGGAGGTAATTGGGTATATAATAGGGAAGACTTTCATTGGACAAGGAGAGGAATTAGTCATAAAGAAAGAAGAAAAAAAATAATAAAAAAATATCCGCATATACAGCAACTAGTTGGTTATGATATATATTCAGGTGTATATGCAACTATAATTACATTTATTAATTTATATATAGCATTTAATCTTATTAATTGGGGTGTATGTGCACCTCCCAGTCATAATTATTCTCTATATAAATTATTTAATTATATTAATTATAATAATAATAATAATAATAATAATAATAATATAAATAATATAAATAATATAGATATAAATAATATAAATAATATAAATAATAATATAAATAATATAGATATAAATAATATAGATATAAATAATATAGATATAAATAAGGTAGATAATATAGATAATTATATAGATAATTATATAGAAGAAAAAAAGAATAATATAAATAATATAAATAATATAAATAATATAGATAATAATATAAATAAAGAAAAGGAAGAAGAAGAAGAAAAGAATAATGAAGAAAAAAAAGAAGAGAATAAAAAAGAAGAAAAAAAAGAGACAAATATATTATTATTAATATTATTAACATATATAGTTAGTGGTACATTAAATCATATACTTTTTTTATCTATGCATGAGGCAGCACATAGTACATTATTCCCTAATAAAAAAATAAATGAATATTTTTGTATATTTACTAATTTATCTATGTGTATACCTGTAGGTATATCCTTTATTCGTTACCATATAGATCATCATATATACTTAGGTATAAACAAAAAAGATCCAGATTTACCTTCCTTATTAGAGGTATATTTATTAAATAATAATAATAATAATAATAAATATATAAATAAATTATATAAATTATTATTTATATTATTATTACCTATTACTTATACAATTAGACCATTAATTATACAAAGAAAAAAACCTATATTATTAGAGGTAATTAATTATATAATAATAATATTATGGGATATTGGGGTGTATATACACCTAGGAATTGGCCCTTTTTTATATTTATTATTAGGTAGTATTATATCCATGTCTATACACCCATTTAATGGTCATTTTATTGCTGAGCATTACCAATTCCCTTGGGGACAACAACTACAGGAGACATATAGTACATATAATTTATTAGATAATTTATTTACTTTTTGTGTAGGGTACCATATAGAGCATCATGATTTTCCCTCTATACCTGGATACCGTCTCCCTTTATTGCATGCAGTAGCTAAAGAATATTATACACTTCCTTCTCATCCTAGTTGGAGACACTGTCTCCTTGAATTTATTAATAATAATACTGTCTCCTTATATGGTAGAGTTAAGAGAATTCATCAGCATGGAGGGGAAGTACCCCCTCCTTATCAGCCATTACTTCCTCCTCCTGAGCAAGTTGGTACTTATTGGACTGGACCCAACGAAGAACAGGGAGAAGAGGGGGGAGAAACACTGCAGCAGCAGCACCAGCAGCAGCAGCAGCAGCAGCAGCAGCAGCAGCAGCAGGAGGGAGAGGGAGAGGGAACAAAGATAGAAGAATTAGAAGAATTAATACAGGCACAAGATATTAAAAAAAATAATTAATTCAATTATTTATTATTCATTATCGCAGCAACTGCAGCAGCAGCAGCAACCACTGCAGCAGCAGCAACTGCAGCAACTGCAGCAGCAAGAAGAAGAACATATATACAATACAAATCTCATGGTGTATACAATGATCATCTTACAAGGATTAGCAACAGGAAAAAAAAGATAATAATATAATTATATTTAGTAGCAATAACAGCAGCAGCAGCAGCAATATATTACAGCAGCAGCAGCAGCAATATGACAGCAGCAGCAGCAGCAGCAGCAGCAATATTTGTGGAAGCAGCAGCAGAAACAATGCAATAGCTGAAAGCTGCACTAGCAGCAACAACAGCAGCAATAGCAGTCGTAGTAGCAGGCAGCGTCAGCATAGCAGCAGCAGCAGCAGCAGCAGCAGCAGCAGCAGCAGCAGCAGCAGGTCGAGATATGTATTGAATGAAGAAGAAAAGGAGACAGGAGACCTTATTATTGTTTACATGTAGATATATATTTGTCTAATTTATTTATGCGTCTCTCCTTCTGTCTCCTCTACTCCTCTCTCTATTTGCTATTTCTTCTGCTGCACCCGTACAACAAGGCAGCAGCAGCAGCAACAGCAGCAGCAGCAGCAACAGCAACAGCAGCAGCAGCAGCAGCAGCAACAGCTGCAAGAGAGAGGGGCCAATTGCTATTTGTTTGTTCGTGAGGCTGCACACCAACTGTTACCTGCAGCAGCAGCAGCAGCAGCCGCAGCAGCAGCAGCAGCAGCACATCACTACAGCTGCAGCAGCATCTGAAGCAGCAGCAGCAGCAGCAGCAGCAGCAGCAGCAGCAGCAGCGCAGCAGCAGCACAAGAAGGAGGGGAAGGAGATATAAATGTGTCAGTAATTAGGGTATAGGGACAGTTATAACTGTCTCCATTTTTGTCTGTGTCTATCCATGGAGACACAAATATAATTTCTTTTATCTTTTTGTCTCCTTTTTTGTTTATATGTGTCTCCTTTTTCTTATATAATGTGTCTCCTTTTTGTTTATATAATGTATATCCTTTTCCTTATATAATGTGTCTCCTTTTTGTTTATTTGTGTCTCCTTTTTGTTATATATAGTGTCTCCTTTTTTGTATATTTTGTTATTTTGTCCCTTTTTCTTTATTTATATAAAGGAGACACTATTTATGTTTATTTATATAAAGGAGACAAATAAATAGATAACTTTTATATAAATAAATAAATAAATAAATAAATAAATAAATATAATTATATTATTATATTATCTTATTAATAAGGAGACAGTCCCCTTTTATATATTTATTATTATTAAGGAAACAAATAAATAGTAAACTTTTATATTAATAAATAAATAAATAAATAAATATAAATAAAATATTATTTATATAAATAAGGAGACAGTCCCCTTTTTATTTATTAAAGGAGACAAATAAATAGCTAACTAATATAACAAATAAATAAATAAATAAATAAATATATAAATACATAAGTAAATAAGGAGACAGTCCCTTTTATATATTTATTATATATAAAGGAGACAAATAAATAGCTAACTAATAAATATATAAATAAATAAATAATAATAATAATAATAATAATAATAAATAAGGAGACAGTTCCTCATATATTTATTATATAAAGGAGACAATTGTCTCCTTTACAGAACAGGGGCTGTCTCCACTAAACCCTAAACCCTAAACCCTTGCTGCAACTCCTCTAGGGTTTAGGGTTTAGGGTTTTGTTGTCTCCTTCAACAAACCCTACATAAGAATAACTACAACGCTGCGCTTTTCTTCATCTTTTTTTCTTATTTATTATTATCTAGGGTTTAGGGTTTAGGGTTTATAATATAAACTATTTATTTATTATATATTTTATTCTCCCTTTTTGTGTCTTTTTTTTTCTTTGTTGCTGTTTGTCTCCTTTTGTTCTTTTGTCTCCTTTTATTATATTTTTATCTGTTGCTGAGTCTCTCTTTGTCTCCTTTCTTCTTTTGTCTCTTGTTTTGCCTCCTTTCCTCTACTGTCCCTTTTTTTGTCTCCTTTTGTCTCTTTTTCCTTCCTATTATCTCTTTGCTGTTTTCTCTATGCCTCTTTTCTACCTGGCTTATCTTAACGAACCTACTAAACCCTAAACCCTAAACCCTAAACCCTTATTGTGCAATGGTAGACCAGCAACGCCCTCGCCTCTCTCTGTGTGTGCCAACATTGAAATATGTCCATTAAACCCTAAACCCTAAACCCTAAACCCTAAATATTAAACCTTAAACCCTAAAACAAGAGCAGAAACCTTCAGATGCAAACCCTAAACCCTAAACCCTCCTGCTGGGGCCCATGCTGTGGACTGCTGGGGGGCCGCTGGTTCGGCCGCCGGAGAGTCAAACCCTGCTATGCTAAACCCTAAGCCCTAAACCCTTATTTTAATGTTGTTTTAATAAAATTAAAGGCTTTTAAGATAAGGGTTTAGGGTTTAGGGTTTAGCGGACACTGGTCACAGCTCTCCCGTACAGCAGTGGACCTCGTCCACTGCCGACGCTCGTGGACACTAAACCCTAAACCCTAAACCCTAATCCCGAATCCCTAAACCCTAAACCCTATAGTCCTTATTTTTTCTGTTGTATTCACCCGATTGTCCTTCCTGTCACCAACGAAGTCTTCCTCCTCGCGCGCATGCTAACACCAAACCCTAAACCCTAAACCCTAAACCCTCGAGGATGGAGGCCAATCGTGAGTTTCCTCTAGCCTTACAGAAGGCCCCAGCCTCAAAAGTGTCGCAATTTAGAGCAGCAATGGCAGCAGCAGGGGCTCGCCGCAAGGCTAAGGCGGGGCAGCAGCAGCAAGGGCAGCAGAAACAGCAGCAGCAGCAGCAGAAGCAGCAGGAAGAAGGAGCAAGCAGCAGCAAAAGGGAGGCAGCTTCTCCAACTGCAGCAAAAGCAGCACAAGGGGATGCAGCAGATAAGGAGAATCAGGATTCTGCTGCTGCTGCTGCTACAGCAGCAGGAGCAGCATTAACTTGTTGCAGCTGCGGTGTAGAGGCATCTAGTTTGCTGCTGCAGCAATGCCAGCATCTCTTGTGCCTCTCTTGTGCTGCAGAGAGACTGCAGCAGCAGATACAGCACGATCCCCTGTCCCCCTATAACCGTCTCCTTTGTCCCTGCTGCAGAAAGGAGACACTTCTCCCTGATGACACAACAGCAACTCTTGTAAGGATGCAACCCCGTCATAAACATAGAAAGTCCCATGCTAACAAAGCAGCAGCAGCACCAGCAGCAGCAGCATCAGCAGCAGCAGCACCCCCAGCAGCAGTAAATGGCGAGGGTACCTATGTACGTGCTGGGGAGGTGTTTCCTCCTCCAGCAGCAGGTGCAGCAGCAGGTGCAGCAGCAGCAGCAGCAGCAGCAGCAGCAGCAGCAGCAGCAACAAATGGTACTCCTATAGATTCTTCTCTCCTCTGCTGCTGCTGCAAGAAACAAAAGGCAATTCTTTCTTGTGCTGCATGCGTTAATATTTATTGTAAGACTTGTGCTGTAGATGCGCATGCAACACAAGGTAAGACAATTAACTGTCTCCTTCCCTTTCTGTCCCCTTCTCTTCCTGTCTGTCTCCTCCTCTTTCTGTCCCCTTCTGTCTCCTTTTCTCTCTTTACTTGTGTCCCTTTATGTCTCTTTCTGTGTCCTTTGCTGTCTCTCTCTCCTTTTCTCCCTTCCTTTCTCTCTCTTCCTCTTTGTCTTCTTTGTTGTCACTGTCTCTTATTGTGTTTCTTTTTCTTTATTGCTATCTCCTTGTCTCCCCCTCTATCTGTCCCTCCCTTTATCTGTCTCTCTTTTCTATTTCTGTCTCCTTTTATTTGCCTCTTGCCTCTTGTCTGTGTTCCCATCGGTGTCTCCTCTGTTTGCTGCTTGGTAAACTATACTGTCCCTTTTTTTAGTGTCTCCTTTCTGTCTCTTTTTCCCCCTCTGTTTGTGTCTCCTTTCTCTATTTGTTGTGCCGCCCTTTTCTTGTGTCTCCTCTGTCTCCTTTATTATCATGGTTTGTGTCCTGTTTGTGTCTGTTTGCTGCTGTGTCTCTCTGCAGCAGCAGCAGGAGAAGCTGCTGCTAATCTGTCTCTTCATCGTTTTTCTCCTTTAATTTGTCCAAGTGTCTCCTCATCAGACCGTTATAAATTAAGGGAAATAGATCATTATAGGAGATTAGGGGACGCGGATCCTTTTCTTGAGGTAGCTGAGGGTTTATCTGCTGCTGCAGCTGCTGCAGCTGCTGGGACAGCAACAGGAAGAGGAGCAGGAGGGGCAGGAGACCTTGATGGTCTATTTTATGGTGGTAATATATTATTTGGAGACCGTAAGGAGAAGGATGAGGAGACAGGAGAAGGAGGAGACAAAAGAAGTGTCTCCTTAGAAGAAATAGTAAATAGTCATATTCCTCTTAATGCTACTCCTCGTCTCTGTTCTGTCTCCTCTGTTGCATGCGAGCTGCATGCAGGGGAGCCTTGCCAATTCTACTGCTGTACCTGTGGGGGCCCCTGTGTCTGCGGGGAATGTATTATATCGGGGCCCCATCAGAGACACTCAATTGTCTCCGTGGAGACAGCATGGCAAGAGGCACTAGGCAAAATAGATGTAGAGTTGCATGCAATAATAGAGAGGACAGAAGAAGACGTGAGAGGGGCACAGGCAGTACTAAGAGACAGTCAGACAGAATGGGCCTCCTCCTTAGCACAAGATAAACAATTATTGTCTCTTACTTTCTTCCAGATAAAGAGACAATTAGAGGAGAAACAAAAGGAGACAGTAGAGACACTGCAGGGATTTGTAGATTCATTTGCTGCTGAGTGTGATGCATTTAGATCCTTAATTAATAATAAAATAAAATTAATAGAGGATAAATGTGCTGCTGTATCCTTAAGGAAAGGGGCATTAGATCCACAACTCCTTCTTTCTTATCTAGGAGGAGACGAATTTATACAGACACAGCAATTAATAGACACAGATATACCCCAAATGTTCAAACATTTACCAGACAGCAGGAATGCCTTATTAGAGCACATGCAGCAAACAACAGATGATCTTCTTAGTCATCTAACCGCACTAAGAGGCAAAATACAACATACACAACACTAAATAGGGGGGGGAGGGGGCGCTATATTAACACATATACACACATGCACTTGCACATCCATGCATGCACACATACACATACATGCCACTCATGAATTGAGAGGCCCCTCAATTCAACGGGGGGCCCTCAATACAACGGGGGGCCCCCAATTCAACAGGGTGCTCCACAATACAAGAGGGGTGGTGGGCCAACACAAGGGGGGGACCCTACCTAAAAATGGGGGGCCCTCTCGTGCGCTAGGGTAGGGGCCCCCCTTATGGGCAGCGCAGCAGCGCAGCAGCAGTTTGATTTTTGCTGCTGCCGTCTCCTTGGGGACTGTCTCTTCCTTGCGGGGGAGGGGCGAAGGAGTAGCAAACAGCCTTGGAAGGAGACGCCTATTATTTTTGTTTGTTTGTTCTATCTGTCTATTTGCGTCAAGAGCAGTTGTTGCTGCTGCTGTTGCTACAACAGCACATAATTCCTTCTCGTGCCCACAGGCAGCTGTGGCAGCGAACGTTGCTAGCTGATGGATAGCCTACAGTGCAGTGCATGTACACAGCAACAAAGTGTCTCCCGTCTCTAGTCCCCATTTTTTATATCTGCTGGAAACAAACACTTGAGATAAATAAGGTTATGTAGGATCTACCCGCTTCTCATAATAGAAAAGCCCCTAGGATTTAGGGTTTAGGGTTTAGGCAAGCCAAAGTCGGATACAGAAACTACGCCTACAGCGTCCCTGACTCTTTGGGCTCCACTTATGCAAGCAGGGCCATCTAAAGGGCATCTTAAGGGGGCCCCCACCGGCGCCCCCTCTCCCCACGTCCTTCTTAACCCCTGCAGCGTTTGCAGGGTATTAGCTCAAGTGTAAAACGTACTGCGGTGCATCATGGGGCCCCAACTTAAAAATGCCTTTAATGGGGCCCCTCACGGTACTTCGTTGTACATGTAGCCCCTCTAAACCCACTCTCCGTCTTGCAGTATGGGGGCCCCCCTGGTAGGCCCCCTACAACCAAAGAGGTTCCCACATTGCAACGAGGGGCCGCCCGACATGGACCCCATAGGGGAGGCAAAGGGGGCCCCCCCTCTAAGTCCTTGGGGGACCCCCAAGTCCCTGAAAGGGCCCCCTCGACCGATCGCTGTGCAGCAAAGGCTGCCAGGAGGCCCTCAAGGCGTTGCATGCGTTGCATGCGTTGAATGCAGGGCCCCCCGTTCTCATACCCTTCTAACAAGAACACCTTGAAACACCTCGCTGGGGCCCCAGTCGGAGTCTGTGTGTGTGCTTTGTTGGGCCCCCCTCACAGTCTCCTGCTGCTCATAGGAGACACCTGGGGGCCTCAAGATGTATAGGAGAGGTGAGGGCCCCCATTTACCAAGGAAAACCTCACTGTCTCCTCGCTGTCTGCTGTTTAGAGGGCGATCGTCCCCTCATGATGCACTCAAGCATGCAGGCCCCCTTAAAATATCTCAAAGAATCAGGGCCCCTGATCTGCGATCTCAACGGTAATAGGGACGGAATAGACATCTATACAGCAGGTAATGAACCTTCTGCTGTTGTTGCTGCTGATGCTGCGGAAGCTGATACTGCTGCTGCTGGTGGTGGTGCAACAGCAGTAGGTCTGGGGAGGGCAGCGGCAAGCTGTATGCCTGCCGCATCCGCCACTGCCTCTTGTGTATCCCCTTTGGGGTGGCAATGGGCCTCCCAGGCATTGTTGCTGCGCCGAAGAAGCAGCAGCATGAGCAGCAGAAGAGACGGATTTCCATTCTGCTGTTGCTACTACTGCTGCTAGTTGTATTGCTCTGGTGCCCCATCAGCGGCAGGAGGGGCACTAAATAGATGCCGAAAGGCAGCAATGGCCTGCCTTATAGTAGGCCGTATGCGGGGGTCTGGATGTAGGAGACTGCTTATAAGGATTGCCCATGTCTCGTCGACTCCTTTGTCTCTTAGCGCTACATAAGGAGACGCATACACCTGAGCGAGAGTAAGGTCACCTTTTTGCCCCTTAGAGGGAGAGGATTCTGTCTCTGTCCCTGTTTCTATATGAGGAGCGAGGGCAGCAGCAGCAGCAGCGGCGGCAGCAGCAGCAGGTGCTGCTGCTGCATCAATCTTTGCTGCTTCCCTCAATGCCCTAGCGAAGTGTGCTTGTTGCTCCTTGGTGTACGGACGTTTGCCTGTAAGTACGGTAAAGAAAAGTGTCCCTAATTGCCATGCATCTGTCTCCTCCGTGTTGGTGACGGCGTCTCCTTGCTGCACAGCAACAAGCTGCTCAGGGGAGACAACAAAGGCATTAGGGGGTTCTGTTTGCTGCCCTGGTCTCCCTGATGCCTTGAGCTCCGAGAGATAGGGGACACCAGAGGAGGAGACAGCTATACTCTCTAATTGAAGATTATTATGTAATTGTCCTGCTTGATGAAGAGACCCGAGAGACAATAATGCCCTCTTAAATACATATAACTGTAGCTGCAGCGGGAACGGTTGCCCTGTCTCCTCCTCCCGCTGCTGCAGCATCTGTCGTAGATCTGCTGCCTTCAAATGAGAGAACCAGACCCTTCTATCAAAGAATGCTGTATCTGTCCCTCCTATGTCTCCTTCTGCTGCTGTTGCGCCTAAACGGCCCTCGTATAGAGGTAATAATACTGCTGTCCTCTCTGCTGTCTCCTCACCTGTCTCCCCTTGATGCTGTAAAGCAGCTAATAAGCCACCCTCCAACGAGCCCCGACGAGGCCTGTCTTCTGTCTCCTCAGCTGCCTCCTCAGATATGTCCTCATATGTATCCTCATATGTCCCCTCAGGTATCTCATCAGATGTCTCCCCAGGTGTCTCCTCAGGTGTCTCCTCAGCTTCACGTTGTTGTACCTTCGCCTCCTGTGTTTCTTCCATTGTCTCCTCCGTCACTGACGTCTTTCCCTCGTCAGAAGTCTCACTGTTTGTCTCCCTTACAGCTCCCTCTGCCTCCTCCGTCTCCATTGTCCCCTTTTTCTCTTCTGTCTTAACAAACCCCAACTGTCTCCTGGCTGCTGCTGCTGCTGCTGCCACCACCTGGGGCATCACTTCAGCTTCAACTGAGGGGTCTTCTTCTGTCTCCTCTGTTTCCTGTGTCTCCTCTCTCTGTGTTGTCTCCTCAAACTGTGTGTCTCCTCTCATCTCTCCCGTCTTGCCTGCCGCCTGTCGGTCCAATTCGTCAGGAGACACTTTGGAGCCCTCCTGCTGCAGCGGATAAAAACAGGGTGCGTCTGCGGCTATCTCCTGAGACTGTACGTCTGCTGCTGCTTCTGCTTCTGCTGCTGCTTCTGCTTCTGCTGCTGCTTCTGCTTCTGCTGCTGCTTCTGCTGCACCTGCTGCTGCAGCAGATGTAGGATAAAGAAACTGACTAACATAAGGGGGAGGGGGGAGTAAGTCTCCTTCATGGGGGAAGAAAGAACTTAAATCTGTTAATGTACCGTCTTCTTCTTCATCACTGTCTTCTGTGCTAGTGTCTCTTCCTGTTTCATCTTGCTGCTGCAGCAGCAGCGTCATGGCGAGGGGCCCCTCACCAAGTGTCTCCTTAAGGTGTGGGGGCCCCAAAGGGACAACCTCGAAAGTAACAGAGATGTTGCTTACCCCCAGGACTCGTCGCCAGCAGAACTCGGCATCTGCTGCTGCTCCATTGGCTGCTGCTGCTGCACCTGCTGCTCCTGCTGCTGCTGTTCCTGCTGTTGCTGCTGCAGGGCAATGGAAACCTGTTACCCAGAACCTTTGCTGCTGTCCCTCTCCTTCTGTCTCCTCTTTGCTATGAGAAGAAAGAATCGATATAGCCGCCTCGATCTTGCGGTCTTGCTCGAGTGTATACACCTGCTGTTGCTGCTGTTGCTGTTGCTGCTGCTGCTGCACCAATAACGCTAAACCCTCCTCTGCTGTACGGTCCCTGTGCTTCCTTAGATCTAGTGTCTCCGCAAACTCGCCCAGCTTTTCCCCTGATTCCTTTATCAGTGAAGCACGAGAAGTATCCAATACAAACTGCACCAGCCGCGCCGATGTCACCGTCACTTCAGTGGAACCCTAAACACACACCTAAACGCTAAACCCTAAACCCTAAACACAACAGGCCGTAAACCCTAAACCATTGACACTAAATACAACAAGCCATAAACCCTAAACACAACAAACCCCAAACGCCAAATCCTAGACAATGAATACAACAAACGGTAAACCATATACCCTAAATCCTAAGTACAACAAACCCTAAACCCTAAACCCTTCCTTACGTCTGTGACAACCGAGGTAACAGAAGGATCCAGGGCTTCTCCCCTGCTCTCATCATCAACCTCATCTCCTTCTTCTTCATCTATTGCTGTTTCCCTGCTTAATTTGTGGTCTTCAAAAGAGGTAGAAGTCCCTTCTTCTTCCTCTTGGGAGGAGGAGAAACTGGGCTCCTCCTGCCACAGTTGCTTCGTTGCCACCCGTTGCTGCTGTTGCTGCTGTTGCTGCAGCAGCAGCAGGTCACTGCGGGTTCTTAGACCATTAAGAAGAACTGTCATAATGGCAATGAGGACAGACAAACTCAACACAACCTTCCTGCTGTAGGGCCCCTTGCCCGGCAAGACGGGGCCCACCGGGTCCCCATTGGGGAAAGGTTTGTCCCTCTTAGGGAACGTGTTGCCCCTTGGGGGCCTACGCGGGCCCTTGGGGCCCCCCCGAGGAGACTTTCGTTGGGGGCCCCTACCTCGTGACTGTGTTGTACTGGAGTCCCCAGCAGTCCATTGAGAAGACTCCCTACGAGCTGAGGAGACAGCCGCTGTTGAGTATAACTCGGAAGGCTGCTGTGGTATTGACTGTGTCAATATTATAGAATCGCTATCTGCTGAAGGTAAGAGCCAACCTCTTACTGATCCTGTCTCCGTGTCTTCTGCCCTAGAGGGGCTTTCGTGTGGCTGCATCGCGCGGTATACGTCGTAAACCCTAGTCGAACCCTCCAAGATAAACCCCCTAAACCCTAAACCCCAAACCCCAAACCTCACTAAACCCTACAGCATAGACACCATCGAGGCAAGACCAAGCCCAATCACCACAGAACCCAAAAATAACTCACAAACAACGGGCTCAAACAAGTTCTAAACCCTACTAAACCCTGCTAAACCCTAAACCCTAATAAACCCTAAACCCTCGCCGGACCCATCGAGGAGCCATGGATCCAGCCGGCGGCCACCGCTGCAGCACGTACATCCGAAATAGCATCTCTTAGATACTTCATTTACATTAAAGAAGGTAAACAAACTTCTAAACTTAACAAGTAAAATAATATTGGCATGGGGGCTTCAATATGACATCTTAAACTCGACGTGTTGCAATGCATGCACCCAACCATGTAAGGTCTGCCATAGAGAACACTCCCCATTAGGAGAAAACCTTCTGGGCATCTTAGTTACTAAATATAGTAGTTCCTTTTTAATGATATAATTGCCTCAAGACACTAAAACTAACGGCTAAAGCTCCTCTTTGGGGGGGAGGGGTGCTGGGTATACATGCTATGTTATATGAAACTTAGAACTGGATGAGAGAAATTCCTTGGGCTCTCTCTTTGTATATTTATATTTTCCTTCATTGTTTAAAATTTCTCTCTTCCATTCATATGTTTCCCTGGTATTATAATCATGATAAACCTATTTGAGCACATAGGTGATCCGCTTGAACCTGCAGCAACGATAAAGTTCTTCCATTCTTCGTCAAGAGAATGCTACAGAGAAATGCAAATGACGAACTACAAACAATAACATTACTTACTCCATTAAGGGTATATACTTTGGCCAAAAGCCAAAAACACCATCCGTCGTAGTCTAGGTGGTTAGGATACGCGGCTCTCACCCGCGCGACCCGGGTTCAAGTCCCGGCGACGGAACCTTCTTTGCACTTCTGCTTTTACCTAACACCGTTTTGAAGAGCCACGCATAACAGACACAATTCAGCGCAGATCTTTGAGGTATATGAGGTGACGGACTACATCAGTAATTCGGCATCTCTCGGTGAGCGAGCCCAGATCGATTGACATACATATCCTATGCGTTTTAAGTGGAGCCTGTTTACTCCCCAGTCTGTAGCCACAGGTGTTCTGTATACTCTAAGAGTAGATGGGTGTTCTCCTGCATGTAGGCGGGAGTCATGAATGTATCGGAGTTGGGCTATCCTGCCCACTGAATTTGTTTTAGGTAGGGCATGAGACGCCCACCAAGAGGCGAGGTGAGAAGATTTGGGCGCCAAGTTTGGGGAGTAAGTGTATGGCTTACAATTGAGAATACAATGTCATCCGTCGTAGTCTAGGTGGTTAGGATACGCGGCTTTCACCCGCGCGACCCGGGTTCAAGTCCCGGCGACGGAATATTATCGACTATAAAGCCTGTTCTTTTGGCGTTTCGATACAAGATATGTAAAGATCTGTGGCAGATGAGGTTTTGCTGCCATCTACTGGTCAACCGCCTATGTTGGGGAGCTTGCGCTGAGGCTGTCCTAGCCTCACTCTTGCGTGTCTTCTTTGTAAAGTTTGGTTAAGTATGT